CTGGGCCCTCCCTGCACACCTGGGCCCTCCCCTCCTCACCTGGGCTCCACCCCCTGCACACCTGGGCCCTCCCTGCACACCTGGGCTTCACCCCCTGCACACCTGGGCTCCACCCCTGCACATCTGGGCCCCACCCCTGCACATCTGGGCTCCCCACACCTCCCTCCTGGCATCCTTTGGGGTGGGGGGCACCCTGAACCCTCGTGTGGGGGGGGTCTGTACCTGTGCCAGGGGCACCCAGGGGGGCTGGGCTGGTCCTGAGGGGGCACCCGGGGGTCTCTGTCACCTCCTCAGGGGCACCCAGGGGTGTTTGTCACCTTTTTTGGGCACCCAGGGGTGCTGATCCCGGGCTCAGGGGGCACCCAGGGGTGTCTGTCACTTTCTCAGGAGCACCCAGGGGTGCTGTTCCCATCTTTAGGGGCACCCAGGGGTGCTGTTCCCATCTTTAGGGGCACCCAGGGGTGCTGTTCCCATCTTTAGGGGCACCCAGGGGTGCTGATCCCATCCTTAGGGGCACCCAGGGGTGTCTGTCACTTTCTCAGGAGCACCCAGGGGTGCTGATCCTGTTCCCAGGGACACCCAGGGGTGTCCGTCCCCTCCCCAGGAGCACCCAGGGGTGCTGATCCCATCTTTAGGGGCACCCAGGGGTGCTTGACCTGTCCCTAGGGGCACCCAGGGGTGCTTGTCCTGTCCCCAGGAGCACCCAGGGGTGCTGATCCCATCCCTCATGGCACCCAGGGGTGCTGATCCTGTCCCCCAGGGACACCCAGGGGTGTCTGTCCCCTCCCCAGGAGCACCCAGGGGTGCTGATCCCGTCTTTAGGGGCACCCAGGGGTGCCAGGTTTGTTCTCGGGGGCACCCAGGGGTGTCTGTTCCCCTCTAAGGAGCACCCAGGGGTGCTGATCCCATCCCGCAGGGCACCCAGGGGTGCTGGTTCCATCTTTGGGGGCACCCAGAGGTGCTCATCCCTTTCCCAGGAGCACCCAGGGGTGCTGGTCCTGTCTTTAGGGGCACCCAGGGGTGCTGCACCAGATTTGGGGGGCACCCAGGGGTGCCAGAACCTTCCTTAAGGGCACCCAGGGGTGCCAGATCCAAAGCCAGGGGCACTGTCCCTGTCCCCAGGAGCACCCAAGGGTGCCAGAACCTTCCTTAGGAGCACCCAGGGGTGCTGCACCAGGCTCGGGGGGCACCCAGGGGTGCCAGAACCTTCCCCAGGAGCACCCAGGGGTGCCAGAACCTTCCCTAGGAGCACCCAGGGGTGCCAGACCCTGTCCCCAGGAGCACCCAGGGGTGCCAGAACCTTCC